ATATCTGGCCACAACTAACAAATAAAATGATAAAAATTTCAGCTCAATATGCCTTAATTTACAAGAGTTAATACGACACACAAAGTATGAAATCTCGTGTGACATTTAGTGTGACAACTATATTTTCAAATTTTATTTAATGTCCCTTTCTTAATAAGAATAAGTAAAACTTTCGAATCATCTTTGGTAGTTTTATTCCCCACTGATAAGCTTTCATTCAAAACCAATCCGACAAATTTTGAATGCTTTGTTATATAGCAAAGGCGTTTTTAAATCTCGTGTGACACCATATTGACCATTGACGGTACACCTGATATTCGGAAAAAAATATAACATAAACTGCGATGAAAGAACTAGCCAGTCTCATATCCATGATGTATACACTGTCCACTGTAAATGTCAAAAACTGTCAAAATTCAAATGACAAGAAACCAATTAGTGATGGGTCATTTTCTGTCCATATGTGGCAGTAGAAATCAGCCATTTTAACCTTGTGTATGCAGTATCTCGGGATAGGCTAATGATAAATTCGTGATTTTTTGTGTGGTAGGGAGCATCAACTACGGCAGCATACTCCGAAATTTTCATAGAGATTGGCCAAGAGGAACTGAAGTTATTAAAGTTTTACATATGGAACTACGAACGGTACAATAAAGTTGCAATTCATCCATATATTGTCCTATTAAATAAGATAAATTTCTCCCTTTCTGATGCAGAGCACTAAGATACTCGTTTTTCGACATTTTCTTTCGAGATTTTTTCTGGTCGATATTTTTTGTTTCGACATGTTTTTTTTCGGTCTTCATCATACATTCCGCTAAGTGCATTACTGTAAGACTCGCATTTATGAAATAGTTGATGATAAAAAAATTTCAAATAAAAAAAAAATACAAAAAGAATGATTATTATCGAGTATATAGTAACACTAATAAAAAAAATCGAGTGCGGTCAAACGAAAAAAAATAGCCGCAGTTTGAAATGTACAAATAAATAATAAAATATTGCTTATGTTAGTGATGAGTTATAAGAATCATTTTAAACAATAGAAATCTTTCAGTTTACAGATAAGATATTATGATAGCAAGTCTAAATGATATATATGAGTTCCACATTTCAGCTCCAATGGAACTATGATGACAAGTTTTTATATATTCAGTGATGGCTTTTAAGTTTTAAACTTAAAATAGCCCTGCATTAGTTATGTCACAGATGCCATTATGTTATCTATATTGCATCAACGAAATGTTATGCTTCTTCGTGTAAAACACAATACTGTCCAAATCCATAATTTCTATCACTCCATCTTCCACATAATGTAATTTACTTTAGTATGTTCGAATAGAATGACGTTTTACCATTGCGAACATCCACTCTTTTTTTCTTCCTCTTCGAGAACGCATGTTCTGTATGTATATGAGGACCTCTGCTGTCAATAATACTTATGTTTGACTTATCGTTTACTTTTACCAATACGCGATTTGAATCATATGTAAGCGAATCGTTTTTTTTTCTTCGCAATTATTTTGATTCAGACTGTTTTCTTTGTATACTTAAGTTAAACTCATATATAAAGAAAAAAAATTTTTGTCGTCAGCTGGTGTTTTTCAAGATGACTTCTACCAACGATGTTGGACTTGCATGTGAACGTATTCAGAATGCAACAGAAGTCGATTTAAATGAAATTACTTGTTTAACTATATGTGAGAATATATTATGGAAACCGCTCTCATGTCAACAGTGTGAAACTCATTTCTGTTCGATGTGTATTCGACAGTGGTTAGATAAACATCCCAATCAATGTCCCATGAAATGTGCTTCATTCATTGAGCGACCATGTTCCAAATTCATTTCTAGACAGTTAGCAAAATTAAAAGTTCTTTGCATTTATCGATCGTATGGTTGCCAGGAAGTTTGTTGAACTACAGTTCAATCACTTTCTGTATTATTAAAGAACACTGTTTTTATACCATGTTTATTTTAGGTTGTTCCATATGAAGCACTTGAAAAACATGAGATAACATGTGGAAATCAACTTGTAAAATGTATTCGTTGTCAGTTAGGTGTACTCCGAAAAAATCTCGCACAACATCAACCAGTATGTCAACAGACGACGGCTATGTCTTTAGATTCAAATATGGTACATGTAACATGTGAAAATGATTTCAAGGAACGAAATTCTGAGATAGCTGCTCTGAAAGCAGAAGTTCAACTACTTCGTCAAGCACTAAGTAAGAATATATTAAAATTAACAATCTCAAAAGTTTTGCTTCTTCTTAAGATGGTCATATGGAATTATTAGTGGCTCGTGACATCCTCGCTGATAACAATGTAAGTTCTTCTATTGCATTACGGGGTCAATGATTTGTTGTTTCTTAATCAACAGAAAATCAAACGAGTTGAACTTAAATCTACGATTCAACTGGATGTTCTTCTTCGAAATCGAATCGTTCTCGATTCAGGCTCATCATTTGCTGATAACGTTATTTGTTCTGTATGTGGAAACGTTTTTTGGAAACCTGTTTCTTGTAAAAA